TCATCACATGTGTGCAGCATATACTGTGATATGTGTGCGCATTTCTTTTCTTTTTTGACTTTGCTTCAGGTCAAAAGTGCGTATTCTGCGGGGTTTCCTTCTGCAAAATTATTTTCTGCATCTTGCATGACAAGAAAAAAAATTCATTGACTTTTTTGAAAAGTTTTCTTCAACTCTTTCCTCCAAAAATACTTCGATTTGAAATTTCAGTGCTGTACTCCTTCCACAGTTCAGCTCTGATTTCAATTGTCTAATTTTTGCAATCAAATAATGCACTAGCTGTTATTGGGTGAACAATTTGACGAAAAACCATCCATTGTTCAGCTCTGATTACAACTGTCTATTTTTTTATACTGAATAATGTACCATACAGTACAGTATTCAGTATAGAACAATTTGACTGGAGTATGGATATCAATGTTGGGGGAAAAAACCTCCTCATCTTTTTTAGGTGGAACGGTGGAATAACGTCATCAGGCTCAACCTTGTCAGCCTGGAAATAATCTTGTCGCGAATTATACTGGTCCTGGAATAACGTTGTCATCAATAACCCCTTTATGTATCACCCAAGATGTTGAAACTTGAGAAATCTTTTGCTGTACCAGGTCGGTCTAGTCGTTAAGAGCAAGATTTTTTTCAACGAGTTTTTTTTCCAGGAGAGGCTTGACAACAAACAATAATCCATCATTGGAATGACGACATTACAATTGTGTACCTTTTTCAGCCTCCCTTTGTAGTCGCTGGTGTTCCTCCAGCAGCTTTTTCTCCAGGGCCTCTTTGGCCTTGCGGAGCACCATAAGCGTGTTGTCTGGCTGCGGCATTGGGGCCGAATACGTGCCCAGGAACCCTGACCGATGCGGCAGGGGCACACTGGGCAATGGATCCGTGGACATGATGTGCGTGGGCACCGGGTCTTGGTTCAGGTAAGAGGAGGAATCCCCGGGGCGGGGTTGCCCGGTTGCTCTGCAAGTCATTGCTCCAGCTTGGCCTGTTTGAGAAACAAGGTATATAGGGCTGCTTTAATCTGAGAAACGGTTGATTTGGCGTGATAAATGAAAAAGAAATGCAAAAATGTGGCTGTTGCAGAAATAAATTCATTCATGCATATCAGGAACAAGGCTTTTGAAGTCACTGTTAGCACCAAAAGCTTGTGCATCACTGAGATAAGAATCTGATGGCATGAAGGTTTTCTAGATTCTCATCACTGAAGAAAAGTTAAGCTTAGAAAATTGAGATTATCTCAAGATCTGTTAGTCAGATCAATTTTTATATGATAAAAGGAAAGTTGAAGAACATCTTCAGCTTTAATTTAAGATGTTGTGGAATTTTTCAAGTGTAAAATTCCTGGAGTTATTTGCTTTGGAAGTTAGTGTATTCGGAATTTCGCCATAGGAGAAGCATGTTTTCTTTGCTGATTTTATTCCTTTTTGGAAGCAAGTTTTTATTGCACAATGCAAGATTGTATTTGGTGATGTGCGTGTGATTGTTGTCTTGATGAAACCTGCGATGAGACAATACAGTAATGAAGTCCTCTTTTAACATCCAAGGAGTGAGGATACTCCAGCTTCCCTTATTTCTGCAGTCATAATGTAGTTTTGACAGAAACAGGCTGAAGACCTTGTGCTTTAAATAAACTTTTACTGCTGCTTTGTCTTCAATATTGGGGATGGGTGGGCGTATGCAACATACGTGTAGGATGTCCAGTTTTAATTTGTGGAGTGTGTTCTCTTTTATTTTTGTCATTGGTTTGTGCTTTGTTTCATGCTTTGAAATGATTGAATGTATTTGGGGGAGTTGGGTTGGGTGGGGAGGGGGTTTGGATGCGGGAGTTCTGGTTATGCCTTGTGACAGCTGAAAAGCGGCAAATAAAGTTTTCTGTTCATTCATTGATTCATGTAGTTTTGCACTTTTAAAATTAAATTCCCTTTCAGGCTGGGTAACTGCCTCAGCACTCAGATGTCTCTGGTATCTGGAATGTTTTTTAATGTAGCTTAAAATCTGTAATAGGTGGCCAAGGAATTTCTAAAAAAAGGCCTGCATTTGAAGAGAAAATACAGTTTAATCTCACCTTGTCCCTATTTTGATTCTTTTTTCAAAAACCTACCTGAATTCCCTTAGAAAAAATGCATGAAAAATTCCCTAACTCCAAGGCTTTCCCCC